CTGCTCCGGTAGGTGCGGGCTGGGCCGGGAGCGCGGCCCTCCCGGGGCCTCCCGCCGCTCACGCTCCCTCCGCCCCGCAGGTGGCAGCGCCCGCTCTGCTCCCTCCTCGCCTGCCTCGGCCTCAACGTCCTCCTGCTCACGCTCGGGCAAGGTGCGGTGCGGGGCCCCCGGGGCCCGGGCCCTCCCCGCACGCCCCGCGATTGACGCTGTCCCGCCTCTTCCAGCCGCCTGGTTCTCGCTGCTCGCCCTGCTGGTGGTGCTGCCGGCCCTGCTGGGCTACCTGCAGGAGACGTGCCGGGCCCGGCCCTCCGAGCCCGAGCTGGTGCGCAGGAGGTTCTACAGCGTGCGGCGGGAGGACCTGCGCAGGGTGCAGCTCTCCAGGCAGGAGGCCATCGCCCAGGTCAAGGGCTTGTGAGTCTCTGGGCTGCGGGTCTCCTGTGGCCTCCGAGTCCGGGAGGGCTTCTCTGTGGTTGCTGAGCTGTTCACGCCAGCCTGGCCACCCTGAAGTGTGTGAGAATGGGGGAGTCAGGGTGGGTGGTTGTGGGGCCTTCTGTGTGACTGTGAGGAGTTGTTTGCAGCCTGATCCAGCTGGAGGGGTTCCTGAGCGGGATGTGCTGCAGCTGCGAGGCAGTGTACCGTGTGCTGTACTGGGAGAACCCCACTGTCTCTTCACAGTGAGTAGTTTTGGGTCAGGCGTCCTGTGGTGGGCTCAGCGGGGAGAGCAGCCTGGCCTGGCCTGGCCTGCAGAGCTGCCTTTGATGTGGCTGCTGCTTGGAGACAGCAGGGCAGGCAAGAGAAAAGGGCATGTGCTTGTTGTGCGGGTCACTCTGCCCTGACCACAGTGTCTTGCTGCTCCTTCCCAGGTTTTATGGGGTGCTTTTGTGCTCTGTCTGCATCCTTTACCTGTTGCCTCTCTGCTGGGTCCTGGCCATCCTCAACAGTACCCTCTTCCTGGGCAACAGGCAGTTCTACCGAGGTAAGAGCCCTCCCTGAAGTGGCCTGTGTGGGATGGGTTGGGGAAAGGCCTTCTTAAGCTAGGAGTTTTGTGCTCTTCCATTCCCAGAGCCCTCAGGTGAGCCCTAGTGTCATGTGTCAGGCTCTGCTGTGGGACCTGGATGTCCCAGAGGGCAGTGGTGCCTTGTGGATGGTTCTCAGCAGCCCAGGTTGGGTGTTGGGGTTCTGGGGTTCAGATGCGAGAGGTGATACTCCTGTCCAGTGTGTGTCCTGTTCTGGGTGCTCTTTCCTTCTCTCCTCTGTACCGTGGCAAACTGGGGCCTGGGAATGCAGCCTTGTGCATGAGCATTGTCACCTCTCTTGGTCACTGACCCTGCTCTGCAGGACTTGAAATACTTCAGGTGCCAGTGGCAGTGTGTGACACAGGTTTGAAAACATGCTGTCAGAGGGGAGGAGAAGGGCAGGAAGCCTGCTCTGTTCTGAGGCATATGCTGGAGTAGAGTTGGGGGAGATCTGTGACTGAGCTGCAACTAAGGCCCTTGCTGTTCCCTAGTCTGAGCTGGGGCAGGAGGTGGGGGGTTCCTTGCTGCCCTGATTTTGCTTTGTGAGCAGATGAGGGCTCAGGATACCCAATGGGTGGATGTTTAATTTGTCAATGTCTCACCTGAGTCCTGGAGATTGGCTCTTGAAGCTGGTTTTTATGTGGCAGGCCTGGGGGAAGGGCAGTGCTACCCTAGTCCATCTGTGCTCCTCTTTTACCAGTGGTAATAGAGCTCAAGGCCTCGCTCGAGCAGTGTGTGGGCACCAAACCCCTCGAGACCAGTCCAGAGCCT